GTGTGTACTGAGAGCAGATGATTGAGAGAAAGCTTTCCCACACTGGTCACACTCGTATGGTCTCTCTCCAGTGTGAACTCTCATATGTGATACAAGGCTGCTTAAATGTGAAAATGTCTTCTCACAGAACTTCACATCTGTATGATTTCTCACCTGTGTGGATTCTCATGTGTCGACGGAAGGCAGGGGAGTGTCTAAATTCCTTCCCACACTGGTCACAGCTGTATGGTTTTTCTCCAGTGTGAATTCTCATATGTGATACAAGGCTGTCTGATCGTGAAAATGTCTTCTCACAAACTTCACATCTGTATGATTTCTCACCTGTGTGGATTCTCATGTGTGTACTGAGACCATATGATCGAGAGAAAGCTTTCCCACACTGGTCACAGCTGTATGGTTTTTCTCCAGTGTGAATTCTCATATGTGATACAAGGCTGCTTTGAAACTGAAAATGTCTTCTCACAAACTTCACATCTGTATGATTTCTCACCTGTGTGGATTCTCATGTGTGTATAGAGACTGGATGATTGAGAGAAAGCTTTCCCACACTGGTCACACTTGTATGGTTTCTCTCCAGTGTGAACTCTCATATGTGATACAAGGCTGTTTGACTGTGAAAATGTCTTCTCACAAACATCACATCTGTATGGTTTTTCTCCAGTGTGAACTCTCATATGTGATACAAGGTGGCTTGAAACTGAAAATGTCTTCTCACAAACTTCACATCCGTATGATTTCTCACCTGTGTGGATTCTCATGTGTGTACTGAGACCAGATGATTGAGAGAAAGCTTTCCCACACTGGTCACACTCGTATGGCCTTGTGTGGATTCTCATGTGTTGATGAAGGGCAGTAGAGTCTCTAAATTCCTTCCCACACTGGTCACACTTGTTTGTTTTTTCTCCTGTGTGGATTCTGTAGTGAGCTTTAAGTCTGGAAGCATTTGGACACACCTTTCCACACTGGTCACATGTGAACTCCATTCTGTTGGTGGATCTTGTAGCTCTGCATTAGAACAAAGGAAAGTGTCAAGTGAAATAACGAAATACACATAAAATACACATAAAATACACATACTGATTCATATGTAAGAATGTTTCAATGTGTGTTCTATAGGGTTGGGCAGTATCAAAAATTTGATTCTGTTAAACCTCAGGATTTTACCGGGTTATATGGTATTACCATATTATCAAAATGTTTTAGTACGACTTTGGTAAACTACGAAGCCGCACCGCTGTGCAGTCTGTGTGTACGACCTGCAGACTTATAATCTCTGAAAAGTTTCACATGAACCATCTCCAACACGACACACACACAGAACAGACTCAACATCAGCAGCACATCCTCTGTCACAGAGAGAACACTCATATTCCACTGAGTCACTGTGTCCTTTAGTCCGACAGAAGCTGAACTGCATCAGGAAAGAGCTGTTTTTATCAGCGCTTATAGTTTATGCAAATGAGTCATGTAGTTTTAAGTTTTGTTTCTGTAAAACATAAACAAATTTGGCCTGAATCCAAAATGCTGCCAAATTGCAGAAATACTAGTATTTTTTTTTTGTGTGACCAACTCTCTTGTGGCCGGACTTGTCGTCTTGTCTTGGTCGTCCCTTATGAGCGTCACGTGACAACGGAACAAAACTAATCAAATGTCGTCTCTCCACTCAGTTAAAAGAAACATTTTAGACACTATTAGTTTTAAATCATGAAACATTAAACTGAAAATACAAACATTCATTTGTGCTGAGCAAATACATTTAGGTATCAATAAATTCCATCCATCCATCCATTTTCGTCCGCTTATCCGGGGCCGGGTCGCGGGGGCAGCAGCCTAAGCAGGGACTCCCAGACTTCCTTCCACCCCAGACACGTCCTCCAGCTCCTCCGGGGGGACCCCGAGGCGTTTCCCAGGCCAGCCAGAGACATAGTCCCTCCAGCGTGTCCTGGGTCTTCCCCGGGGCCTCCTCCCGGTGGGACATGCCCAGAACACCTCCCGAGGGAGACGCCCAGGAGGCATCCGGAACAGATGCCCGAGCCTCAACTGGCTCCTCTCGACATGGAGGAGCAGCGGCTCTACTCCGAGCTCCTCCCGTGTGACTGAGCTCCTCACCCTATCTCTAAGGGAGCGCCCAGCCACCCTACGGAGGAAACTCATTTCGAGCGCTTGTATCCGCGATCTCGTCCTTTCGGTCACTACCCAGAGCTCATGACCATCAATAAATTATAATATTATATTAGGTCTTTATGTGATGCAGATTTTTTTTATGACGGTAATGAAACTGATCACTGGTTCAGTCCTGGTCTAGTCCTGGTCTAGTCCTGGTCTAGTCCTGGTCTAGTCCTGGTCTAGTCCCGGTGATCTGCTCGGTGATTGTGGTGTATATATTTATACTCTGCTAATGTTTGTGTCTCTGGTTCTCGGGTCTTTCTCTTTCTTCTGGATAATAACGTCTCTACGTCTCTGGATACTCGTCCCTGATTGGTTGATGCGGTGCGTCCGACGTGAAAAGTTCAGCATTTTCAACTTCTGACGCTGACGGCCTGGACGCATGTCTAGAGCGTCGACGCCAGAACTCTGAAGACACGCCGCAAAAAAGCAGGACGCCCCAGACGCCCCAGACGCCCCTCCACAGACTTTACATATAAACTGGACACTGCGTCTGAACAGGCCTTAAGTGTGAGATTTAAAAATAAAAACCATGTATGGCCTAGAGCTGCTTCCCTGCTGTAACTGCCTATAACAGAATAATAATAGCTTTAATAATAGCCTATTTTTTAAAGTTTTAATAAAAGCCAATTAAGGTAAAAGAAGATCACTGCAAGTCTTGTAACACAGAAATAACTTATGGTTGGTACAAAATAAGAGCTATTATAGCTTAATGCCTGATTTAGTACCACCAAACCACTTTGTGTACTTAAAAATAAAATGTGGACAGCTTTTAAGATATTTCAGTAAAATTGGAGGAACAGTTGAACATTAAAATCGGAGCTTTAAAAGGCCCTAAACAGTGAACATGACTCTGGTCTTGACTCTGACCTTTCGTCTTCATGTGGCGTCGCTTTGGTCCAGGAGAAGAGCACAGAGCTGCTTCCCTGGGCTGCCTGCTGTAGCTCCTTTTCTCTTTCCTTTTTTAGCCTCTCCTTTCTGAAAGGAAAAAAAAAAAAAAAAACTTTCAAAAGGCACTTTTTGTACAGAGGACAAAGGGGCAGGTGATTTAGCAGCACCTGGAGTCTGTCTGTGCACGACACTGGTCTATGGCAAGACAAACTGTTCACATTTACACCCATTTTTAACATGTTAACACCTTGTAAAAAAAAACCCAAAACACTATACCATACAACGCATGTCCATGAATAAGATGTAAAGATGGTCAAGACCTACTGTGAATTCTCCCGCAAAACAAGTTAATCAACAAGTTAATCAACAAGTTCATATTTGACAGAGTCCACACCAGTAGTGGAGCAGATTAGGTTTCCAAACCACAAGAATCGTTCAGTTAGTCGTACAAGCACCAAATTTCTCATATATTTAGCTAACATCATTGCCTGGAAATCCAGAAGGATATTTCTCTGTATTTGTTAATCAGCCGCTGGTACAGCGATGAGTCTGGATTCGTCCAGGCAACTAACATCATGCTCTTTTAGAAAAACCCATTAGCCACCTGAAATATTCAACATGGCCGACCAAACAACTGATTTCACATAAGTATGAGCTAAACGACAATAAGTCATCATGTTCTTAATCAAAATTAATGGAATAAATCACAAATTTGCAAATATATACATATACAGTAATGCAATGTCAGGTATTCAACAAATTTTACACCAAAATATATTTAATTTTGCACAAAATTCATTAAATTTTCTCGCAGTTTGAAACCAAAAGTATCCTAATAACCATTTGGGAAGTAGAAATAAAAACACGAGCAAAATTTAAATAAAATGCAACATATTGACATAGGTTAATTTCAGAAATAGAGCCATTAAAATACAGTCCCTGACAAAAGTCTTGTCCCTTATCCATTTTGTAGAAACAAAAGTTTATAACCTGACTTTAAATGAATCGATTGGTTTAAGAAATGTCTCATATGAAGCTAAAACCCTCCCAAATTATGCTCAATATACTAAAATAAATTTGCTTCACTGAAGAAAGATTGATCATTTAATCAACACAGAAAGGTCAGATTTTGGCAAGACAAAAGTTTTGTCGCCTACAGAAAATTGAACAAATAATTTACTTCAAATACAAAAATATGTTGCCTAACGTCAGTGAATGAAGTAGTGGTGCTGTGAGATCCAGATTTAATATCTTGTATGACTCCATGAGCTTGAAGGACACATCCATGTGGTTCAACAATGATTCATACAATTTGTTGAAGAAGTCATCAGGAATATCAAAGAAAGCGTCTTACAGCCTCCCAGAGTTCATCAAGATTCTTTGGTTTTGTCTTCATGTTTCCTCTTTCATTCTACCCCAGACCTGCTCAGTGATGTTCATGTCTGGTGACTGGGCTGGTCAGTCCTGCAGCACCTTGATCTTCTTCACCTTGACAAACTTTGATGTAGAGATAGAAGTATGTGATGGAGCACCATCCTGCTGCAAAATCTGACCCTTTTATGGTTGGGAATGTAAGAGGAGCTAATACTTCTTGATATTTTAGGTTATTGATATTTGCCTTCCACCCTGCAAATGTCTCACACACCCCCAGACTGGACGGAACCACAGACCAGGATTTTTCCATCACCAAACTTAACTGTTTTCTGGGTGAATCTTGGATCCATGTGGCTCCAGTTGGTCTCCTGCAATATTTGCGGCGGCTGTGATGTAATTCAACCGAGGATTCATCTGAGAAATCCACCTTCTGCCACTTTTCCAGTGTCCATCCTTTTATCAGGCTGTGGGCCTTGGCAAATGCCACACGGTTTTTTAATTGCCTTTTGTTTAGTGCTGGTTTCTGTGCACTGATTCGACCATGGAGGCCATTTCCAGACAGAATTCTACAAACTGTTGTGGTTGACACAGGGACTTGAGGTGACCAGGCCTGGTGGAGTCTGCTGCAGTGGAAAAGGGGCCTTGGATTTTTGAATCAACAAACGCTCCTCCCGAGCAGTTGTCTTGCGACGTCTGCTGGACCTGGGCTTGTCAAAAACATCTCCAGTCATTTCAGATCTTTTTCTTCTTCTTTGTACTTGACGCTGAGACACATTGAAGGTGTCACCACCTCAGCAGTGGATCTGGTCTTCAGCCTCTTGATAATTAAGGCTTTGGTCTCAGGGTGGATCTTAGGCATGTTGTCAGAGGTCAAGTTGCAGTTGATGTGAAGGTCTGGTTCTGCTGGGTTCTTTTTATAGACAAACACTAATTGATTGATCAGTAACTGATCACAGGTGAGGCTGTAATCTAGGATTGTGCATCATATGACAAGGCCACAAGACTTTTGTCTTGCCAAAATCTGACCTTTCTGTGTTCATTAAATGAACAATGTTTCTTCAGTGAAGCAAATTTATTTTAGTTTATTGAGCATAATTTGGGAGGGTTTTAGCTTCATATGAGACATTTCTAAAACCAATCGATTAATTTAAAGTCAGATTATAAACTTTTGTTTCTACAAAATGGATAAGAGACAAGACTTTTGTCAGGGGCTGTAGAACCATTCATAGTGCTGGATGTGCTTAAGAACTATCGAAAAAACACACAACTTAATCATTGCAATTGCAACTACAAAACTGTGTGTAATTTAAACCCAGACGAAAACATTTACACCGACCACTTAGTGTGTGTGTGTTGTGTGTGTGTGTGTGTGTATGTGTGCGTGCGCGGTTCTGTAAACAAAACAAATCAACACAATATTAGAAATAGACTTAATAAGAACAATAATAACATCATGATATAATATAACAATATCAGGCAAACATAGAAATATAAATCCAAATATGTTTTAACCACGTGAAAAAAATAGGCCTCAAAACCTCTACTACTAATCAACTAGAATATGATGTTGTAATTAACAGTAAACAAAAGCATCACAGTATTGTCTTGTGTCAAACATAATCCCCAAACATATACATAAGGTCACCTGAGGCTTATAAACAAAAGACCCGAATAACACGAATTAAATAATATGATAAAGTGCACATAAACGAGGAGAAGCTCAGCGAAAGTTAGCATTGAAGCTAACATGTGTAATAATTGTATAAATAACACAGAACAACTTTGAACACTCAGTTTTCTCATCAAACACCCGAATTTAACATGTGAAAACACCCACCTGTCTCACGGACGCGCACTACGATAAAAAGGAACATATATAAGAAACAACAACACACCTCCGACGCACAAATAACGAAAAACACTAAACTTATCACGTGCTCACAGAACAGCCGCGCCCCTAGTGGTCAGGCTTGGTACTGCACCTAACTAAATATGCGATAATCCTAGTCCTGGTTTAGTCCTGGTTTAGTCCTGGTTTAGTCCTGGTTAGTCCTGGTTTAGTCCTGGTTTAGTCCTGGTTTAGTCCTGGGTTAGTCCTGGTTTAGTCCTGGTTTAGTTCTGGTTTAGTCCTGGTTTAGTCCTGGTTTAGTCCTGGTTCAGTCCTGGTTTAGTCCTGGTTTAGTCCTGGTTTAGTCCTGGTTTAGTCTTGGTTCAGTCCTGGGCTAGTCCTGGTTTAGTCCTGGTTCAGTCCTGGTTTAGTCCTGGGTTAGTCCTGGTTTAGTCCTGATTTAGTCCTGGTTTAGTCTTGGTTTAGTCCTGGTTTAGTCCTGGGTTAGTCCTGGTTTAGTCCTGGTTTAATCCTGGTTAGTCCTGGTTTAGTCCTGGTTTAGACCTGGTTTAGTCCTGGTTTAGTCCTGGGCTAGTCCTGGTTTAGACCTGGTTTAGACCTGGTTTAGTCTTGGTTTAGTCCTGGTTTAGTCCTGGGTTTAGTCCTGGTTTAGTCCTGGTTTAATCCTGGTTTAGTCCTGGTTTAGTCCTGGTTTAGTCCTGGTTTAGTCCTGGTTTAGTCCTGGTTTAGTCCTGGTTTAGTCCTGGTTTAGTCCTGGTTTAGTCCTGGTTTAGTCCTGGTTTAGTCCTGGTTTAGTCCTGGTTTAGTCCTGGTTTAGTCCTGGTTTAGTCCCAGTTTTCTCCAATAAAACAGATTGATAAAGATGACATGCAGCTGTACCTTGTGTGTCCAGTGTCCGGAGGAGCAGCGGGGCGGAACCACAGTGAGCGCGTGTGTGTTCCTGTCCGGGCCGCGCCGCTGTGACACCGCTGTGGGCACGGATCATGCTTTTCGCGTAAACGCCGCTTTAACCAGGAGTTTGTGGCGATGGCAGCGATCGGAGTGCACTTCGGTTACTCGTGTGCGTGCGTGGCCGTGTTCAAGGCGAGTCTCAGCCGTTTGCTCTCAATTTAGGACCGGAAACCTCATGGTTCCGTGTTTAGACCTGGTTTAGACCTGGTTTAGTCCAGATTTAGTCCTGGTTTAGTCCAGGTTTAGACCCGGTTTAGACCAGGTTTTGTCCTTGTTTAGTCCTAGTTTAGACGTGGTTTAGACCTGGTTTAGTCCTGTATTAGACCTGGTTTATTCCAGGTTTAGTCCACGCTTAGACCAGGTTTTAGTCCAGGCTTAGTCCAGGGTTAGTCCAGCCTTAGTTCAGGTTTAGTCCAGGTTTAGTCCTGGTTTAGTCCAGCCTTAGTCCAGCCTTAGTCCAGCCTTAGTCCAGCCTTAGTCCTGGCATAGTCCTGGCATAGTCCTGGCATAGTCCATGTTT